TCCATCCATCCATCCATCCATCCATCCATCCATCCATCCATCCATCCATCCATCCATCCATCCATCCATCCATCCATCCATCCATCCATCCATCCCTCCCTTTTACCTGTTTTTTCCTTTCTAGGTCAGGCATAGCTTATCTCCAGCAGTCTCTGTGCAGGTACACACTGGACAGTAAGACCATCACAGGGCCACATAGAGACAAATGAGACATACACTGTACAACTATTCACACTCTCACTTGCACCCAGGAAAAAAAATAGAGCTACCAATTAACCAAACATGCATGTTTTTGGTCTGCGGGAGGAAACTAGAAAACTACATGTGCACAGGGAGAACATGCAAACTCGACACAGAAAGGCCAGTAGGCAAACCTGCAACCTCACTGTGAGGCGACAGCTTTAACAGCTGTGCCGCCATGCTGCCTTCACTTTATCCACTCCTCTCCAAATCCTAAAACAGTCCACGTCCTTGACGTAAGAAGGTTGGGTGAAGGAGTGTCCCTCCTTTGAGCCACACAGCAATACTTGGTAAATGCTGACACAAACAGAATGATGATTCACTTTTCTGTGAGGGCATCTGGTGCAGCAGCTAACGACGAATGCAGAATTGATATTCATAGCCTAGCTTCTCTCCAGCCACAGGCTACACTGATCAGAGTGTTTGTACAAAGTTTCTTTTGTAGATCCAAGCAGGCATGCAGACCACTGGAATGTGCACTCACACTTACATACACTGCTTATGTCAATTCAGACTGTAATGCCTTTTTTTCTGTGATTACGTCATCTATTCAGACCTTGAATTGGTGTCTTGCTGTGAATGTTTATCAATTCAATTTTTTTTCAATTCAACCTTTATTTATACAAGTTAGTCTCAGTGAGCATCGGCGACTCATTTACAAGAGAGACCTGTAATCAATATGTGGCGAGAAATTATGTGCAGTTATCCAGTACCCAATACTTTTTGTTTTTGAATATCTACAGGCACCTGTATAATTATTTAAAAATTTATTTTTAAAGAAAAAAAAAAAGTTTAGATTTAAGATACAAACTGAGTTTTTTTTTTTTTTTAAATGAATTGAAAAACGTGAATATCTTAGTTGGATACATTTAAAAATATTCCTAAAATTTAAGTTATCTGTTTCTTCAGGATTCTATTTTTTTAACCAAGCCATGTTATCCTGATGCATGCTCAATAATCCAGGTAGAAAAATCCAAACAAGTTCAATCTGGTCCTCTGGACATTCAAAAAAAACAAAAAAAAAAAAACCAAACAAAGCAAAAAAAAGGCAGATTTTTTTATTTATTTATTTTTATTTTTTATTTTTTTTGAATGTCCAGAAGCCATTTTATGGCACTGAAACAAAGAAAGATTACAACATTTGCTCAATACTATGCTTTTTTTTTAGGATTCACACATTGGAATGAACTCTAAATACAATGGAAATGAGAAGATTCTTTGATTTGGTTTATGAGTGCAATGGAAATATATAAATGTCTTGAGGTTCCATTTGCACAGTAATTGAGGAAGTGAGTGGCAGAATGTAAAAGGGAATCCCACATATGTGTGTATCCATCCATTAGCTTTACCCGTTTATTCCATTTTGGGTCACGGGGGTCGCTGGTGCCCATGTCCAGCAATCACTGTGCGAGGGGCGTGGTACACCCTGGACAGGTCGCAAGTCCATCACAGGACCACATAGAGACAAACGAGACAAACAACCATTCACTCTCTCACTCACACCTAGGGACAATTTAGAGTTACCAATCAGCCTAACATTCATGTTTTTTGGTCTGTGGGAGGAAACCAGAGTACCCGGAGAAAACCCACGCATGCACGGAGAGAACATGCAAACTCCACCCAGAAAGGCCCCTGGACCGGGGTTTGAACCAAGGACCTGCTCGCTGAGAGGCAGCAGCTCTACCAGTTGCGCCACCGTGCATATATATATATTTTTTTTTTTTTTTGTGTGTGTGTGTGAATAGCTTGCCAGAATAAAAACAAATGTTCAATATTGTTCCATTTGTCAAGTACAAAAGCTCTTATCAGAAAACAAGCCAGCGGTGGGATACAGACTGAGCTCATTGCTCATTGTTGTTGTCCCTCCTTTCATGTTTAAGGTGATTTATATATGCATTGAGTCATAACAGAGGCTCAGTGTGTCACTAATGAGAAGTTTAATGAGACTTTCTCCATGGGCCAGCAACCAGGGCCAAGGCCTCAGACGGATTATGAAATCTCCTATTTCCTCTCGCAGCATGGGGTGTTTTTCATTACTGCACAGTACAGACGCTCACAGAATCCTCTATTATCATGAGCTCCACAGCTGCTCTACAGCACAGGGACGACAGCACTCAGGCCATAACCAGGAAGACATATTACAGATTAACAACAATAAATACAGACGTGTGGCTTCTAAAACAACTGTGGACATTTTTTTTTTTGCTTTTTGCAATACAAATGCAAAGTGACTCTTTTTACACAGTTGCTTTATCTAATTGTTATGCTGGTTTAATTTGTATTTTATTGCAGTCGAGAAAAAAAAGTAGCACAAATGTTAATTAGCAGAACAACTAGTGTTTTGGAAAAAAATGTTAGCTTACTGTTCTCAATATTTTCTTCATATGTGACCTTTTCAGTTAAATTCAGTTTACTTGTGAGAATAGTTAATAGTTCTGGGGTGGCTGCCAAATTATAAGCTTTATTTTTTCTACTTATAGTGCAAAGGCTCTTTGACTTGTCAGAAATGGTCACATTTATTTGAATGCTGTTCATTTACTAATATTTAATAGTCATTTCTGATTATTGGTATCTTACACGCTATTATATTTGCTTTCATACAATAACGACTATAACTTCTTATCGCTACAGTAAATCATGCTTGCTATGTTTGTTTTGGCTTATTTATTCATAAAATGTGTTAAAGCAGACCAGTCTAAAGTAGAGCTGTCGTTTCTAACCCAAACCCGAAACCCAGCCCGGACTGACCTGGATTAGGGCCGGGCCGTTATAATGTTAATATAATAATAAAAAATAAAATAATAATAAAAAAAAAAATATATATATATATAATTTTTTCATGTGACAAGTCTCAAGTCTTTCTAATCAAGTTTGGGGTCAAGTCACAAGTTGCTTGCAAACCTCAAGACAAGTCTGACGTCCTAAAATTTAAAGACCAAACAAGTAGCTGAATTGTACACACTGCTTGAAAAAAAAAAAGAAACTTCACAGTCACAGTGTTATCTGAAGAAGTGACTTCCTATGCACAGATCCTCTTCTTAGGCCATTCTTGCACAGAGGTATGTTGTTCAGTAGCAATATCTACTGTTTAAGAGGAGAACTTAAGTGAATGCTACATGTCTGAATCACTTGTATAAATGGCACCTCGACTGTCTTGATGTCACAA